CGTGCTCAACAGCGACGTCATCTGCGAGTTCCCCTTCGCGGCGCTCGCCCGCTTCCACCGGCACCACGGCGGCGAGGGCTCCATCGTGGTGACGCGCGTGGAGGAGCCCGCCAAGTACGGCGTGGTGGTGAGCGAGCCCGACACCGGCCGCATCTGCCGCTTCGTGGAGAAGCCGCGCGTCTTCGTCTCCAACAAGATCAACGCCGGCCTCTACATCTTCAGCCCCGGCATCCTGCGCCGCATCCAGGTAGAGGGGCCGGGGGAGCCGGGCTCGGCGGTGGGGCCGGGGCTGCGTCGCCCGCTCAGCGCTGCCCCACGTGCCCCCCAAAGCTGCGACCCACCTCCATCGAGAAGGAGATCTTCCCGGCCATGGCGCAGGAGGGGCAGCTCTACGCCATGGAGCTGCAGGGTGAGGCCCTGCCTGTGGCGCGAGGTCCGGCCTGCGCTGCTGCTCCCCACGATCACGGTGCCTCTGTCCCTGCTGTCACGGTGCCTCTGTCCCTGCAGGCTTCTGGATGGACATTGGGCAGCCCAAGGACTTCCTCACGGGCATGTGCATGTACCTGCAGTCGCTGCGGGCGCAGCACCCCGACCGGCTGCACTCGGGGCCTGGGATCGTAGGGAACGTGCTGGTGGTGAGTGCTGGCCCCACGCCACCTTTTGGGGTCCCCCTTGGGCCAGGGGGCTGCTGCCCTTCTCACTGCAACCCTTACACTGCGCTCTCCTGTCCCTGCGCCCGTCCCCAAGGCTTTGGCACACGCTGCTGTTGGGGCCGTGCTCACTGGGTGGCACTGGGCCCACGCAGAGCCCCCTGCCCACGAGCCTGGCCCCACTCGGCGCCTTCTCTCCCTCCCAGGACCCTAGCGCCAAGATCGGCGCCAACTGCATCATCGGCCCCAACGTGACCATTGGCGCCGGCGTGGTGGTGGAGGACGGCGTGCGCATCAAGCGCTGCACCGTGCTCAAGGGGGCCCGCATCCGCTCCCACTCCTGGCTGGAGTCCTGCATCGTGGGCTGGAGCTGCTCTGTGGGGCAGTGGGTAAGCGAGAAGGGGCTACAGCGCCCTGAGAAGGGGGCAGAGCTCAGCACCTCGACCTCCCACCGTCCCTGCGGCCATGACCGGGCCCCATGGCTCCTGGGGCCTGTCCCCGGTGCAAGTGGTGCCAGGACCTCTCCGGAGCAGGTTCGCATGGAGAACGTGACAGTCCTGGGCGAGGACGTCATCGTGAACGACGAGCTCTACCTCAACGGGGCCAACGTGCTGCCGCACAAGTCCATCGCCGAGTCGGTGCCGGAGCCGCGCATCATCATGTAGCAGCCGCCGGCGCCTGCTTCTGACGGGATTAAATATTTATATTTCCTTCTACCTCTGCCCATCGTCTGAGCGGGGCCCAGGGCCGTTGAGCAGCTGGGGCCCGGCCTCTCCCTCCCCACGACTCCGGGCGCTGCGTAAGGAAGAATAATTTAATGCTCCGTTTCGGGAAGTCGGGCCCCGTCCAGGGGCGCGTTGAACACCACACAAACGCACAGCCCGGCCCGCAGCGGCCAGGGCCCCGCGCCCGGCCCGGTGCTGAGCGAGCCCGGGCCCCTTGCTCGCCCCGGAGCTGCTCCGGGGGCACACGAGGCCCTTGCGGCTCCCTCAGCTCCGGGGGAGCGGAGGGAACGCTGGCCCCGCGGCCCGGCCTCCGGCCTCCCCTGCGCCAGCCTCTCCCTTCCTCCCGTGCCCCTGCCCAGGCCCTCTGCTCGCTCCCAGCCTTCAGCCTCAGGAGGAGGAGGAGGAGGGCCCAGCGAGCGCAGGGCACCAGGACTGGCGGCCGGAGCAGCCGGGGTGCGGGGCTGGGCGCTACGAGCTGGGCGGCTTGGTGAAATCGTCCACCCCCGTGATGGTGGCCTTGCAGAAGAAGCAGTCCTTGTTGTTCATCAGGTGCTGGTTGATGCAGGCTCTGGGAGGAGAGGGCGCAAAACCCACCGTGAGCTCCCCGCCGGCCCGAGACGTGGGGCGGCCCGCGCGCCAGCAGCTGCCCTGGAGAGGGGCGAGCGGCGCCGTGGGCCCCGGCGCGCGGGGGCTCTACTCACTTGCAGGACTTGTGGGAGCAGGGCCGGAAGATGGCCGAGATGGGGTGCGCATAGCAGATGGGGCACAGGTCCTCCTCGCTGGTGGGCTGGGGAGGAAGCGCCCGGCGCTGAGCAGGGGCCCGGCCAAGCCGGGCGCCCCAGAGCGGGGAACCCCACAGAGCTGCCCCCGGTGCCCGTCCTAGACGGGATGGGACTCGGAGGCTGCAAGATGGGGAAGGGGCAGGTGGGGCGCAGAGGGACCCGCTGTGGGACTCACGAGGGTGGTGGCCGCTGCCTGCTTGGACTCCTCGCTCAGGTGGCTCAGCATCTTGTCCACCTTGGCCAGCTCCTCGGCGCTGATGTAATCGGTGTCTGCGGAGACCGACGGGGAACGCGGATGGAGGGAGGCGGGCAGAGCCCCTGCCCGTAGCGGCAGCCCCAGGGCTCCCCGGGGACCCGCGGCGCTGGCGCCGCGGCCGGGCACTTACAGGTGTGCAGGGAGAAGTGGCGCTTGTCGGCGGCGGGCGCCGCGGCCGCCAGGGCCGAGGGCTCCGCGTGGCCCAGCAGGTACTGGATGGAGCGCAGCTGGAAGCAGGGGTCGGCCAGCAGCACCGCCGTGGCGCGCTCCGCCCTGCGGGACACACACCGTCAGCCACGCCGGCGCGTCCGGGCCCCCTGCTCCGTCCCCGCTGCTTCCCGAGCCGCTGCTCCGCCACGGGAGCCCCGGGGGAGCCGCGGCCCGCGCCGGGGAGCAGCAGGTTAACAGCAGCTCTGCCTTTGCGGCAGCCGCACAGCGGCCAAATGAGCCATTTGCTGCCCTAATGGAAACCCGTTTCCCCGGCGCGGCTTTCCGCGCCCGCGTGCCGGGGGCTGCCGTTCCTCCGCGTCCTTCGCCGCGCTCCCAATTCCGGCCCCGCCGGGATGCGGGCGGGCGGCACCTCCTGCTCCGCGGGGGCTCAGCCTCCTCCGGCCACCGTGGCCTCGGCCGGGCGCTCCGGGCTCAATCCCTGCTGGACTGAGTAGAGGTGAGGGGGACGCGAGGGGCGAGAGAAGATGGGGCTGGGGGAAGAGCCACGCGGTCCCGCGCTGTCCCCGCGCCACGCTGGGGAAGGGAGGACATCGCGGCGACAATGAGGATGATGCCAGAGGCAGATCCTGCCCTTTGAGCCGCCTTGGGGCATCCAACCGTGCCGCGATATGCCCTGCTCCGGAGGTGCCAGAGGGACCTCCCCGTGTCCCTCCGTGGCGCTGGGCTCTGTGGGGACGAGGGAGGGCCCCCGGTCACCACGGCCACCACTCCCCGCGCCGGGACCAATGGGCTCCCGCCCGGCCCCCCGCGCCGCTGCCAGCCCGGCGCCTAAATAGCGGCGGGAGCGGGAGCCGCGCTCAGAGCGGCGCGAGGAGCTCCCCATGGGCGCCCCGGGCTGCCGGGGAGGCTGCCGCAGAGCCCCGGGGCGGCGGCGGCGCAGGTAGCGGGGCAGCCCCGCGCAGGGCCATGCTGCCCCTCGGCGCCCCGCGCTAGAGCCGCGGCCGCACCGGGGAGGATCCGGGCCGTCCTCGCTCCGCTTCTCTCCTCCGGGAGCCCTGGCGCCGCTGCCCCGCGCCATGGGGCTCCTGGCGAAGCTGCTGCTGGTGCTGGGGCTGTGCGCGGGCGGGCGGGCGCTGGGTGCCCCCCGCGGCTGCCCCGCCGCCTGCATCTGCACCTCCGACGTGCTGAGCTGCAGCCGGCGGGCGCTGCTGCAGGTGCCCCGCGCGCTGCCCCGCACCGCCACCGCGCTGGACCTCAGCCACAACGGCCTCACGCAGCTCCGCGACGGCTGGCTGGCCGCCCTGCCGCACCTCGAGGCCCTCCACATGGGCCACAACCAGCTCGAGGAGCTCTCGGCGCGCGCCTTCCACAACGGCTCCCGCCTGCGCCACCTCGACATGTCCTCCAACCGCCTGCGCGCCGTCCGCGCCCACTACTTCGCCGCGCTCGTGAGCCTCGAGGAGCTCCTGCTCTACGACAACCGCATCGCCCGCGTCGATGAGGGCGCCTTTGCCGGGCTCAGCGGCTTGCGGAAGGTTTACCTGAGCTGGAATAACCTCACCCATTTCCCCTTCCGCTCCGTGCACGGGCTCGGSAACTACAGCCTCCGCACGCTGGACCTCTCCTCCAACAACCTGAGCAGCGTCCCCGTGGAGGAGCTGGCGGCGCTGCCCGAAAACGTCCGCAACGGCCTCTACCTGCACAACAACCCCGTGACGTGCAGCTGTGCCCTCTACCTGCTGCTGCGCCGCTGGAAGCAGCAGGGCTTCCGCTCCGTGAAGGACTTCTCCGAGGAGCACACCTGCAAGGTCTCCGACCACGTGCCCCGCTCGCTCATTCGGTTCCTCAAGTACAGCCAGATGTTTGAGAACTGCTCCGGCGGCCCCGAGGACGCCCCGCGCGCCCGGCCCTTCCCGGCGCTCGTGAGCCAGACCCTCCTCATCACCTGCAACGCCAGCCTGCCGCCGGCGGCCCCCACCTACATGTGGATCACGCCGCACCACGAGCCCGTCAAGCAGCCCGGCAACAGCAACCGCTCCTTGGAGGTCTACAGCAACGGCAGCCTCAAGATCTCGGCGGCCAAGCCCTGGCACTCGGGGGTTTACGTGTGCCTGGCCATCAGCAGCCCCCAGAACTTCAGCCGCATGTGTGAGGTCAACGTCACCGTCCACTACCCCAAGCCGGACGGCGAGACCTTCAGCACCGGCCTCACCACGCTCCTGGGCTGCATCGTCAGCCTGCTGCTGGTGCTCGTTTACCTGTTCCTCACGCCGTGCCGCTGCCTGAGGTGCTGCAAGAAGGCGGCGCCGCGGAGCCCTCCGCAGGAGTGCAGCGCCCAGTCCTCCATCCTGAGCGCCACGCCGCCGGCCACCGAGGCGCCCAACCGCAAGGCCAGCGCCCACAAGCACGTGGTCTTCCTGGAGCCCCTCAGGGAGACGCACAACGGCAAGATCCGCCTGGCCCTGGGCGAGGACTTCCCCGACGCCAAGCACCCCAAGGTGCTGCAGCTCAAGTCAGACTCRGAGTCCATCAGCTCCGTCTTCTCCGACACCCCCATTGTGGCGTAGYGGAGCTCTCACAAGAGCCGGAGCCTCCTGAGAACCACGTCTGAGAGCCGTGGTCTCCATCGCTGCTGGAGGAGGGTTATTAGGCACCCCTTAATCCCTCCCTTGACCGCTAGCTGCGAGGGCGAACCTGCATCACCCGCTGCCGCTTCATCCGCGCCCGGGCACACCGCTAAGTCACTGGCAACGACCTCGTTAGGGCGAACGGCACCGCTAATTACCCCGGCTCTCCCGAACCGACCTCCCCCTTCCACTGGCTGAACTTCACCGGGGACACGGAGCGTGGCCGCCCGCCACGTCCTCAACCCCGGGAAAGCCGAGCGCTGCCACCACGGACCCGCCGTGGCAGCCCCAGCAAGGAGGGGCACAAGGTGGGCACCATCCTCGCCCTGGGGGGCAGACGCGTTGAGTCTCGTGCAAGGGGAGCTGGGCTCCCTCCTGCCGCCGCCTGCACCGCGCAGGGTGGGATTTCGGCCAGCGTGTCCCTCTCCGGACAGCTCCGGGGCGTCTCGGAGYCCATGCAGCCGAGGCAACGTTACAAGCTTTCACCTCCTAACGCTCCCCACAAGCTGTAAAACAGCGAGGAMAGGAGCGCAGCAGGCGACGTGACCCCCAGCGCCCCGACCCGCATGGCTCAGAGCATCCCGTGCCACCAAGGACGACGAGGTCTCCGACGCACCATCCTCCCTTCCCTGCTTCTCCTTGAGACGGACAAAGGCGCTGCTGAAGCACAGCTATTTAGGCAGTAATCTAATAAGCCTATCGATAAATGTGAGTAATCTCTCCTCTCTCGGGTCATAATTCTCTGGTTACATTTGAATAAAAAGGGAAAAAAAAGGCCTATTTTTTTAAGCTCACGCTGGTCCTGCTGTCTCCTTGTCCTTGCAGGGAACTGCCGCAGAGCTGCCCGGGCTTCCCGGCGGGAAGCGGGCTGCTCCCCTGTGCCAGGGGCCGGCTGGGTGCGGAGGGAGCCCCGAGACGCCGCCGCGGCGGCTCGAGACGGGCAGCGGTGCCCGCRCGGGGCCCGCAGCCGCCTTCGCTGTCAGGTTGCATTAACTTGGCCGTGGTGAGGAGGGGGTGCAGAGGAGCGGAGAGCGAGCCGCTGGCCCGGGGCCAGCGCGAGGGAGAGCTGTGTCAGGTCACTTGTCCCCGGCAGGGCACGTCGCCCCAGCGCCGGCTTGGGCACTGGGGAGGGAGCAGCGCCCRCTGGCACCCAGGTGGCAAGAGGCACCTCTGGAGAGCAGGAGCCCCGTTTAGATCTGGGGAAGAGAGACCTAGGGAGCCCCTTGAGTGCCCCCCATGGTGGGGTCCCCGCTTACCTTGCGCTGGTGGCTCCAAGGCACTCTGCCCACCCATCCAAGGAGAGCGGAGCGCGTGGGAGGGCGGCTGTCCCGAGGGAACGGCGGCCTCCCGCCCGCCGCGCATCAGCCCCACGCGTGACCCGCCTTGCGACGCTGCGTGGTGGCTGGGAAAGGCGACGGGACGCGGGGTGACAYGCGCCACCCACCCGTGCCCTTGTTGTTGATGATGCCAAGGTGCTTCATGAGCATGGAGATACTATGGGATGGGTAAATGTYCCCCTTCGAGGATGGCGCTGAGGCAATGCCATCCCCTGGCTTTGCATCTAGATAGGGATCCCATTGGAAGGATGACTGGAATTTCCCTGTGCCTCAGTTTCTAAAATGAGTTCTTCTGGACAGGAACCTTCTCAAAGTTCTTGCTTTGCTCACGCAAACTCGCTCCTCCATCACCTGCCGAGCAATTCACCTTTAGCCCCCCAAATCCAGCAACCTGCTGACGTTCTAGCTGCATGAAGTACCTCAGAGTCCCACCGTGCCTGGAAAACCCCCCCAGAGATGTGCCCAGAGACAGAGGACACGCAATCCTTCACCCCAGCATGGCCGTCAAGAGTGTCCAGAAACCGGCATGGAGCAGGAGATGAGAGGGAGCATGAGGGAACCCAGGGCCAGCCCACACAGTGTCCCCAAACACCACCGTGCTTGTGGAGATGGGGCCAAGCCCCATGGGACAGAGCAAAGCCCCAGCGAGCTTGAAGCATGTTCTGCCTCCAAACGCCACGTCCCTCTCCAAAAGGAGAGACCCTGAAGGAGGCAGAAGGATGTGTGGCCTGGCCCAACGTTGCCAGCTCCTGCTCAGGCTGGTGGGACAAGGTGCTGCTCTGGTCTCTAGCTTCTTGAAGGGATTGGGCTGGGAGATGTTGTAACCTGTGGCTGCTTTTCTCCTAACATCCTTGTGGGCCTCCTTGCAACTCTCCCCCCCTCTCTCACACTCAGATTAACTCCCCAAGGCTTAGGGCACCTGCAAACTTGCATGTCCATCAGGACGAAAACTCAGGGAAAGCCCATGCTAGAACTGCAGTGTTAGTGAAGCACATGAGGGTCTGCCCTGGGACCCACCAGCCTGGTCAAGGTCAGCTCTTCTAGGCTGTCTGCAAGACTTCTATCCCAGAAGCAAGGCCCTCCACTCTGCTGAGAATGGTACATCCAAGGTTTGTATTAAGCACCTCTCCCAAGGGCTTTCAGTCCATGTTTACCCAGGAAAACCCTTCTCCCACATCTCACACCTTGCTGAGCCTCAGGAAGGACCCGCAACCCCCTTGCTGCTCCCGTCAGCAAGGTGGGGACCTGCCAAAGCAGTTCATTAAGCAGCTTGAAAGCCTTTATGGCATCTCATCTCAGCGAGGCAAAGCCCGTAGCCATCAGCAGAGCCTCCCCGCCAGGCCGGAGCTTGCAAACGTAAGGGACGGTCCCCGGGGAACCCACTGTCCTCTTTGGGCAGCCATCTGCACCATTAGAGCCCCGGCTCGCTGCCAGACGCCGGCCTCCTGCTCCGCGGCTCTGCAGGGCGAAGGACCGGGTCGGCACAAAGCTCGGCGTCCCAGGCACGCAACGACCCACGCTGGTGGCCGTGAAGGACTCGTGTTGGGGACCTTTGGCACCATCTCCAGGGCTCACTGCTCTCTCCCCAGCGTTTGGAGCTCAGTTAGGGCAGCCTGGCCGTGCCCAGCGCTGCTCCGGTCAGCACAGCTACTCACCCTGCCTTTGCTCCTGCTGCCGGGGTTGGATGTGCCATGCACAGGACTGGGGGGCTCTCCTTAGGACACCCTTCGTTTTCCAAAACGACCAAACTGGCAAGGGCAGCGTGACGCCCGCTCCTGCCACCCAGTGCAATCCCACCCTTGGCTCATCCTTGTGCCCAGGACTTTGCATTCAGAGCTGACCRCAGTAAGATCAGACTAATCACAAAAACTAGGCCTGACACCTTCATTCTTCTCTGCTGTACGTTCCGCAGCTCATACGCCCACAATGACCACGTGCGCGTGGGGGTCCACCAGCCCCAGCTTCAGGCCTTGCCCCCTTGCCCMTCACCAGCTCTCGGCAGGATCATTACGCAAGCTCTCCTCCGGGCCAACCCCGCTCCATTAGCTCACTCCAAAGGAGGCTTAATAGAAAATCTGCTCAATTATTTAGCAGGCAAAGYGGGGGGGGATGACACCAGCTGAAGGCAGCCAGGGGCTCTGGCAGGGACCCAGCGATTCAGACCGACTGCTGGGCTCCCGCTTCCGCTCTCCCTCCCCTCCCCAGGAAAACAAGGCTCGGGCATCAGAGCCCGGCGAAACGCGGAGCGCGGGGGCCTCCCGGCCACGAGGAACCCTCGAGGAAGACGCTGCCCAGCACCTGGGTGGGGGGCAGCAGGTCAGGGGAATGTTATGGAAGCCAGAAGTGTCCCCAGACACTTGGGTAAGACAAGACATGATGCCCCCAAGTGTCTTACCCAAGTGTCTTACCCAAGACATGATGCCCCCAGGCTCCCCTCTTGTTGGGGCCATCTGCTCTCTGAAGACACTCCATGGAACTGGTATCAACACAAAGTTTTCCTTCCACCCATCCAGCCCCCCAGAAGCATTTGGGAGTCGTGTTAACGGTGACCCCGGGAGGCTTGATAAAAAGCAGGAAGGTGGGATAAGGATGGCACCAATGGTCCATCATGAGCAGCATCAACTCTCCTGCCTCTCCTCCTTGACTTGAAGGAAACGCACTTCTTCCTTCTCAAAAGCACAGCGCGGACTAACGCCACCGATGTATCGGTTGTCTCATCACATCCGAGCCCGGGTCATGTTCAGTGTTCCCTTGATCGGTGCTTAATGGCTCTCTTCTGTGCCAGGAGTCCGTAACGAGAGGACTTGCTGCCTGGCTGAGTGTCCTGTGCTGGGCAAAGGAACAGCAGAGGCGTCCGACTGCATCCCGGTAGCGCTCCCRGGTGAGTCTCCACGTCGGCACCATGCAGGGTCCCAGGTCTCCTTATCCCTGACGTTCCCCGTTGGGGCATTTTGGGGACCTTGTCCTTCCGCTCCTGGATGAACACAAGGTCTCTGCCCAAGGCAAACCCTGCAGCACCTTTCAACAGAGCGAACGGTGCTTCTGTGGCTCGTTACAGATGTTGACCCTTCAGAGAGATTCCTAAGCCAGGCCCAGAGAAGCCGTCCCCAAACCATGAAAGTCTCATCAAGTCTCACCCCAGGTCCTCATCTTCTCAGGCAGAGCCTCCCTGCAGTGAACCAGTTTGGTTAACAGCTACCATCTTGGGTAAACTCCGTAAGGAAGCTCCCATAAGCTCAGGTCTGAGCTGTATAATCACCCCCTACTATTCACTAAGTACGTGGAAATCCACCAGTTACTAATTAGGACCCAGAAGAAATTAGGACCTGCTTCCAACACTGCTCAGGTGCTTCTGAGGAAGCAAAGAAGTCCCAGAACTATTTGCCCATCCTGTTATCCTGCTCGCTACACTGAGAGAAAAGAAGGAGCACCAAGAAGGAATGGTTAATATAAAAGGAGTTGATATGAAATGGGTCTGATCTGGACAGACTGATTACATGTCAGGTCCTTCACATCTCTTCAGTTATTTCTCTCAGCTACACGACCTATGGCAACCATCTCCAGCAGGAGACGACTGACCCGAGGAAGCTTCTAATCCTCCTTTTCCCTTCCATGGACCATCCACTTATTTGTGCGCTTGGACACGGACATTCCTGATCCTGCTGTCCAGCCTTTATTGACCTACATCATCTCCCCAGCTTCAGGGCAACCGCGGGGTAGGG